TAAATAATCACGATCTTGAGATACATCAATACAGAATATGTGCATGTGGGATGCTCACTACTGCCACCTAGCGGCGGAATTCAGAGTTCATAAGTCCACCTATCATCAGCCCTTGACCACCTGATCAACTTTTCTGAAAATATCTTCTTCTTCTTCTTCTTCTTCTTTGCATTTCAAGCTTATTACTTATCGCATATTAGCTTATTGCGTGCTCTCAACTTAGTGTTCTAGATGCACTTCCATAGTTATTAATTTAGAGCTTTCGATTCCTGGACCATTTTTGCATTAATATAATTGTGTGGCATGTACAATCATACTCTATGCCGATGGTAGTCGAGAAATTCCTAGATCGGACCGGGCATCGAACCCAGCCACCTTCAGCATGGTCTTGCTTTGTAGCTGCGCCTTTACCGACTGAGCTAAGGGAGGCCGAATTCATCACCCTTCTGTATAAAGGGTGATACGGTCAAAATTTGGTCAATATCAACTTGACGTATTTCTTTCAATTTTGCATTTAAAAAACCTGAACACCCCTCATTTTGAAGGTGTGTGTGTGTAGAATGTTGCTCCTATATTGATTTTGGAATTCACTCTTCAGTTGTCAAAATGCCGTCCAAGCAAGAAGAGCAGCGTATCAAAATTTTGCTCGCGCATCGCGAAAATCCGAGCTACTCGCACGCAAAGTTGGCAAAATCGCTAAAAGTTGCCAAATCAACCGTTACAAATGTAATTAAAGTGTTTGGGGAACGTTTGTCGACAGCCAGGAAGTCTGGATCGGGGGGAAATCGAAAACCGGAAGCCGCTGAGACGACAAAGAGAGTTGCCGGTAGTTTCAAGCGAAACCCTAACCTCTCTCTCCGAGATGCCGCAAATAAGCTGGGTGTATCGTCTACAACCGTGCATCGAGCCAAAAAACGAGCCGGACTATCGACTTACAAGAAGGTAGTGACTCCAAATCGCGATGATAAACAAAATACGACGGCCAAAGCGCGATCCCGGAGGCTGTACACGACGATGCTGACGAAGTTTGACTGCGTGGTAATGGACGACGAAACCTACGTCAAAGCCGACTACAAGCAGCTTCCGGGACAGGAGTTTTATACGGCAAAAGGAAAGGGAAAGGTAGCAGATGTTTTCAAGCACATGAAACTGTCAAAGTTCGCAAAGAAATATCTGGTTTGGCAAGCCATCTGTACCTGTGGCTTGAAAAGCAGCATTTTCATAGCTTCCGGGACTGTCAACCAAGAAATTTACGTGAAAGAGTGTTTGAATAAACGTCTGCTGCCTTTCCTGAAGAAACACGGTTGTTCCGTACTGTTTTGGCCGGATTTGGCATCTTGCCATTACGGTAAAAAGGCCATGGAGTGGTACGCCGCCAACAACGTGCAGGTGGTTCCCAAGGACAAGAACCCTCCCAACACGCCAGAGCTCCGCCCAATTGAGAAATACTGGGCTATTGTCAAGCGGAACCTAAAGAAGACAAAAAAAACTGCTAAGGGCGAGCAGCAGTTCAAGGCAAACTGGCTTTCTGCGGCGAAGAAGGTGGACAAGGTGGCTGTACAAAATCTGATGGCAGGGGTCAAGCGTAAGGCCCGGGAATTCGGATTTGGAAAAGCGGAAGCCTAACTGAATATTTTTCCTGAATTTTATACTAATTGAACTTGAAAAAGACATTTAATTTGATTTTTTAAATAAACGATTTCACCGATTTACACGCGTTTTCCCTTGACCAAATTTTGACCGCATCACCCTTTAATCAGCTTACTGGCACCATCTAGTGGCAGAATTCCGAATGGATCTTTCCTACAGCCCTTGACCTTCTTGGTCAACTTTGTTGAAGACATAACCCTTATAAATAATCAAGATCTTGAGATACAGCAATACATGGTTTCCAAAATAGACCATGATTTAAGCTTACCATCACAGGGTTAAGAGTGATTCAAGGGAGAAAGAGAATGCCAAGGCTATTACGAGCAGCGTTTTCTGGTTAACTTAAGAAGAATTCCATGACAATTCAGAATAGAATTCAAAGGTTGATCTTATATTAATATCATGTGGATGCTGCACAAAATTACAACGTAATTTAGATATCATATTGAATAAAAAAAAATCCGTCTTGCAGGGCTGGTAGTGCTGATGCGATATAATAGTAGTGACTTTAGTGACTTAAATTACGGAAATAGTGACCAAATAGTGACTTGAAAATGCTAAATAAGTAACCACTTATATGGTAACTTAGAAATTCAAATACGGTTTGATATTGAAATAAACTTTTTATGTCATGGAACTTAAAATCAAATTTCATAAATTCCTCTAATTTAATCGAATCTCACAACGGAATCTCCTGTGAAGAGCATTTGAAGTGATTTGAATAATTTACTTTTGCTTTCGTTATACATGATGACTAGCAAATAGTAATTCCCTTTTTTTATGATCTTGAATTTGATTCTACGTTTGAAATCTTTAAAATTTTGATATATCTAGGTAGATAACGTTGATAATTCGCTAAGACCTTTTCACAGAATTTCTTCAGAATGATCTCAAGAACTTTTTGAGAATAATTCTCCTTCACTTAAACTTTGAGGTAAATTAGCTTTTACAAAAAAAAAAAATATTGTATTTTTGAAATTCTTTGCAGAACAATCAACAAAATTCTTGGAAATAGATTATTTTCGTACTTGGAAATGCTTAACATCAAATATGAGGACTAAAGTGGACATTTTATACTATAGATGAGGACATGAAAGTAAAGAGTTGATAGTTCCATTATAGTGTGAAATTTGTATATAGAAAGTAGAAAGCGAACAATGGACAATTTTGAGGAAAGTACGAATCGTATTTCCTTTACCAAACTCATCCGTTAATGAGGGATGGTGAGGGGTGTTTCCCCCTGCCACCGGCAAAAGGGATGATCGCCGAGTTTCTTATGTACCTCCAATGTTCTATTGATTGTTTCACACTCAAGTCCCATCTGACGTAAACAACTACCTGATTCGTACCTTTCTCAAAATTGTATTTTGATCGCTTTCTTCTTTGTTTACACAATTTTATCACTGCCGTACTATAACGCCACTATCAACTATATAATTTAATATCCTCATCTATAGTATAAAATCTCCACTTTAAGTCTGACATTTTACGTTAATCATCTCCGACTATGTAAATCGTTAAATTAACGCATGATTAGTTAAAGTAGATTATTTTCGATTTTCGATGCAATTAACCTCAGAAATTTCATAAATTTCTGCTTAGAATAATCTTGGAAGTCCCCCTGCATTCAATTGGAAATTCAATTCGTATTCTCCTTAGAAATCCCATTGTATTTCCTCAGAATTCTAAAAACAAAAATCCATTGCAGAATAACTTTGAAAATCTTCTCAGAATTCCTATGCGATTGAACCCTCGAAATTCGATTCTATTGGATTTCTTCTAGGAATTTATTTGGAACTCTTCAGAATTCAAATGGAAGTATCTTCAGAAATCACCCCAGAATTCTTTTAGAACTATCCGCAGAGACCATCTTTGGAGTTCACGGGATTTCCATGGAATTTTCATCAGTGCTTCCTCAAGCAAAATTTCAGAACTAATTTTGAATTCTCATCCAATCATCATAGAATTATACTAAGAACTCTCGTTAGAATGCACTCTCCATTATATTGGAATTATTTCCAAAATTGTTTCATAGCTGACTTTTGCGTCTCTAACAATTTAAACAATAATCAAAAGTGGCGCTCGTATGTGTTAAGCCAATTTTAAATATATAAGTAAACCTGGCTTAAGATTTAAGCGGAGATGAAGAAATCAGTCCTCAGAGCACTTAATTTTACATGAGACTTTCGTAGTCTGTACTTTGGTATTCTTCTCTGATATATCCTAAAATCCTTTAAAATTCCTTCTTCGTAATCATCATTGAAAGACTTTTGAAAATCTATCACAGACAAATACCTTCGGAAAATTTACAAGATTTACTATTTATTTTCTGGGAAAGAAGGTATATTTTCCCCGATTTTTAATCGAAATTGAAGGCATTTCCCAATAGTTTTCCTGGTCTTCTAAAGTTTTACGGTTCACTGGTTTCTTTATTGAGAAAAATTGTTTTTAAGACTTTATTTGAAATCTAAAAAAAAATGGGCAAATTTTTCTGGAGCGCATATTTTTTTCAAATAGTCTTATTCATTATCTGCAATATTGCCGAAGACACCAAACCGATCAGGCAAACAGTTTTCGAGTAAATTTTTTCTGAAGATAATCTTGATATTTTTCTATATGTCCTTTTTAAAAATAAGGCTGGATTCAAAATGGCGATATGAAGATGCAAAATGGCATTGTCGGTCATAAGGAACGTTTCTGCAAATTTTCAACCAAATCAAAATTACAAAAATAAATCGATTTGCGAATTCGTAGGGAATTGCTCTATTGATATTTTGATCTTTAAAATCGGCCCAATGGTTCAAAAGTTATGATTATGTTAAAAAAGGTCATTTTTGAAAAAAATCAGCTTTTTTTACCACCCTAACATATAACATTAGGGTGACCAATTATAAAATAAAACAATACAGCCCAAGTAACATTGCAAGTTTTATAGTGGTTTTAAAGCATGCTACAAGTCTAAATCATGGTCTACAGAGCCCTCATAAAACCACATTTGTTGCTTGGGAGGTCTAATATTTTGTGATAAGGAACAAAGCTACCAATTTTTTCGAAATTCTTAGAACCGCTATATCGTTTGCTATGAGCTGGCTGTACTAAAAATATAAGATAACTGATGGAAGCTATGCAGAAAAATAAACAAGTCTTTCTTTAGTTAAAAAATTCTGGCGTAAAAATTTGATCGTATGGTAAGGTTGATCTATTTTTCCCAATTCTCAAAATCCCAATTCTCCGGTTTTTCCTGTTTGCTGGCCATTCTATATCATCAATAAATGCGGGCAAGTGCTCAATACACAAGCTAGTCGGCGTCCCAAGCTAAGATTAAGAACGGATAAGAAAATGCCACTCACCGTGTTCAAGACTTTGATTGCAGCAGCGCAGCGCTTCGTCCAGAGCGTTGCTCTCCAGGTGCCGCTGGGCTTCCTCGTTGAACTCTGCCGCCTTCAGCTCCGGTCCCCACCATCGCTCGACTAGCCGTCGCACCAGAATGTCCTGCTCGAATCCAATGACACACCCTTCGACCACACCAGCAGCACTGGTTTCTTCTTCGATCGTACCCACCGCACCTGAGCCCGGGCCCAGCTTGTTGTCATGGTTCGGCACCATCGTAGCGGACGTCGTCGACGACGAGGACGACGACGTGGCCGTCGAAGGAGCCGTCATCGATAGCAGCGTCAATGTGGTGGTTGACGAAGGAGCTGCCACCACCGCCGTCGCTTGTGAACTGCTAGAGATCGTTGGAAATTTCTGATGGCAAACGGTACACTTGCTGTGCCCGAAGCAGCACTGCCGACAGAATGTGTGGCCACAGGTGGCCGTCACCGGATACCGAAGGATATCCTCGCAGATGGGACAACACAGTGGATCTACTACGGAACTATCGCTACAGATTTTGTTCAAACTAAAACTAGACTCGCTTAGTCGCTTGGAGATGACGGTCGCGATCAGCAGCTCCGTCAGCTGTTTCAGTCGATTCAGACGACCAGCATCTGTGTTTGCGGGCCACTCCTTGAAGCTACCACCGTACACAGCAGCGAAGGGCTTCCGCTGACGGCTGCTGGTACTGACGTCTTCCACCGACGCCGACGACGACGGCAGCACACCACCGCTGTTCGATTCCTGCACCTCCCGGAGGTACCGCTCGAACAGCTCACACTCGAACGGATCGCAGATCATCATACTAAATGCATCCTTTGCTAGATCTGTCATCGTTGCCATTTTGGCCCCCAGATGCCGATCTGGTGTCAAATCGCAAACGATCAATTAATTTGCACTATCTACCCAGGCGGCGGCGGTTAATCTCCTTTTCGTTTTTTCGCGCGCTCGATCACTACTCACAGGTATGGCTATTTTTGATCTTCACTTTGGTTAGAAATTTTTCACCGTCACACACACACGATAATTCTTCTTCTCTTTCGCTTTCGTCGAGTACCGTTCAGCGCTTGGGAACTGGGACGCATCGGATGACACGTGTCAGTGCAGCGACAACATCGGTACTAATTGCGTAATTTCTCATAAAACCGCACTCTGAATCAGCTTTCTTCTCGAACGAAACGCTCACTTCTTAATCACGGGGACGGGCCCAACGTGCCCAGAGCACTTTATTAATAGAGACAGATTGATCGCACCACCGACCGCCGTGTGTTTCTTCGCTTTCTTCTCACAGGAAATTTTAATTTAAAAACCACACTTTACACTTATTTTTGCGTTGCTGTTGCACTATTATACGCCTTCGCCGATTGCGAGGACTACCACCCACTGTACTCTGCCGATGGTGATGACTGGGCAGGTTCTTTGCTGTGTTTGTGTGTCTCCCTAATAGCTCTGTAAGGAAAATTAAAAACAGGAAGAGAGAAGAAAAGGAACTTGTCAGTACCAGTTAACGGGCAAAGAGTGATATCTTGAGTGAGCCACTCGTCTTCTCGGAGTGGGTGTGGAAGAGATTCGAACTAACAGCTGATGGATGCCACCCAAGTGGCTGGCTTGTCGTTCCACACAAGCGTCGTTCCACGGTGGATTGGGTTGATATTTGATATGACCTTTCTTTTGGAATACTGTTTACTTTGTTTACTATTGTCTTTTTTTGACGTAAGACTACGTCTGTGATTTCTATATGGGGTTACACTTTGTGAAAACCGAAAATGGAACATGTAACAAAATTATGAAAGATTTTGAACATTAATAACTCAGCTGCCCCTGGACCAATTTCAATAATTTTATCACCAATCGATCAGAAATATGTCTACGCATCGCCAATGCCTTCGACTGGTGATTTTCAACAAGAATCTATTGAAAAAGTGGTAATGTCAAGCATTGTCCAATGTCCAAATCAAAAGTGATAATTTTATCACTGTTTTCATAAAACAAACGTTCTTCCCAAACCCAGTCGTCATAATCGAGTACCACTTGGTCTAGCCTCAATTCATTTTCGCTTCGGACGGCGTGGTGAGCAGGCAGCAGAAGCAGCAATAGCAGCAGTAGGAAGGTGGTGGAAGGTTAGGTAGTCCACTCTTCTACCTTACAAGCAACAATGAATGGTCGTGGCAAAGGAGGCACAAAACCGTCAATCTTTTCTAACGAAGTTTACATTAGATTCACTTTCCAGTTAGCTGAATTGCTCTTTGAAGGAAGGGCGACGGTAGCTTATAATCTAAATTCAATACTCATAATCTATAACAATGCACAGAGGGACTCCGTATAATTGACCGAGTTGGAGAACACGATAGCATGTAATTCAGAAGCATATGATAATATTGGAGTGGTATCTGCGTTGAAATATAGATCAAGCAAGCGATGTCCAATACTGGTGACGACGATGAAAACGTAGGTGGTGCAAGCTCTGGAACTATCGATTAACTTCATTAGGGGTGCAGTAGTCTCTGGTTTCGGCTAGACATATACCAATATGCGTTGCCTGATAAAGAACTAGCATTTCTACCAGACCATGTAGCTAGATCCAGAATCATGTGGAGCTCTTCGAATGCTGAAGACTGCAGCCTGGACCCGAATGCTGGGCAAGCTGTTCAATGATGGTGACCGATGAGGCCGTGGATGTTGCAAATTCTTGCAGCTGAAGAAATAATTGGTATTTCTACCGGAATTTGAAGCAAGCTTCGGAGTTGGATAGCATGGACCCAGAACCACGTGGAGCTTCTCTTGCAATGCTGAGGAATGCAGCCAGAACCCGAATGCTAGACTAGCTATTCCAATGATGGTGACAGCGATGAGACCGCGATAGTTCAAATTCTTGCAGCCAGTTTTGGAACTGGATGGCATGGATCCAGAAACCATATGAAGCGGTTGGAATGACGAACAGTACGTCAGCTGTAGAAAAATCGATGAGTGTATCTTTAACCCGAATACTGGACAATGTTTCGAATTCATGCAGCTAGTTTGGAGTCGAGCAACATGAATCCAGATACCATATGAAGTGGTAGGAACGATGAACAGTGCGACCGGGACTCGAGAATCGTGGAAGATCATTAGGTAGTATCTCTGGCTTCAGTCAGACATATACCACTTCTTGTTATCTGACAACATTTCGAGTCTGCAACGCCAACCTCCACACTTTCACTCTCCGGTGTATCCTGCCATCAAAGTCGTCTCGGCCCTGCGGTCGGAAATGGTGAGGGGGTCTTCCAGTCGGCGTTGCCAGGCAAGTACTTCGATTCGACGTTCCATCCGCCTCCTGATAGTTTCGTGGTTTCCAGCTCGTTATCCAGCGATGTCAGCAACAGCGCATGCACATATCCTCGCAGTCAAATTGATCCTATCTTCACCATTTACTACCAAAACGCACAGCAAAAAAATAATTTTGATATCACGTCAAAGTGGATGCACTACAATCATGTCGAAAATATGGTGTAATATTACTTGCTAAAAAGGACAAAATTATCATTGATACAATGCATGAACTGACATTACGCTGCTTTTACTGCATTTGTTTATTTATGTGGTCATAAAAATTACATGAAATTTTCGACATGATTGTAGTGCATCCACTTTGATGTGATATCAAAATTATTTTTTTACTGTGCGTAAGAGGTTTACGAACGAAGACAACCGAGCTCCGCTAAAGGCTTTCAACATGCGACTACGACGTTCTGGTTCTCACCGAAACCTGGCTTCGAGCGGACATTCAGGACTGTGAGCTATCGTCAGATTATCATTTCTTCCGCTGCGACCGTAATCGAGCTACCAGTCAGCTTTCCAGAGGCGGTGGTGTACTTATTGCGATAAAATCCAAGCATTCATGTACATCAGTTTAGCTCAAGAATTGCGACCGTCTGGAGCAAGTGGCTGTGCGCATCACTCTGCAGCACCGCTCGCTATTCATCACCGGAATCTACCTCCGTCCTCTCTCCAGCCCGGATTTATACACGTCTCACACTACTGCACAACAGATTATCTTTGAGAGATCTTCTAACGCCGATATCATCTTGGCAATGGGCGACTACAACCTTCCGTTTCTGAGTTGGACTTTCGACGAGGACGTGAACGGTTATTGACCATCAAACGCGTCCACTGAACAGGAACTGGCTCTCCCGGAACCGATGCTCCTAGCTTGACTTAGCCTTCATCAGTGATCCGGATAACGTTAACCTTTTTGAGCCTCTGGTCAATCTACTGGATATCGGTCATCATCATAAGCCATTCATCTTACGACTTAATGCCGACTGCAATCCGCCCATGATATCGGACTGTGATTCGTATCCACCTGAATTGGATTTCAGGCACTGCGATTTCGGCTCGTTGAATAATGAACTGTCCACTATCAATTGGCAACAGATTCTGGATGGTGTTTCTGTCAACGCTATTGCTGACCAATTCTACGACAATCCGTATGAAACACTCTATGCGCGAGTTCCTCTCCGGAGGCGTGTTACGAGGTTAACCTCAGTGCAACCCTGGTGGAGCCCTGAGCTACGTAATTTGCGGAACGTATTGCGTAAGTCGCGCAAATGCTATTTCAGTACCAGAACCAACGAGAGCAAAAATAGTCTCCGATTAATCGAAACGAGATACAACGGACTGTTGAAGTCTAGCTATGGGGAGTACGTCCAGCGAACGCAAGCGAATCTGAAGCAGCACCCATCGGCGTTTTCGGTAATCGTATTCCGGACATAGTTGAGTTTAACGGGATCGCTGATAGCTCCCCTGTCGATGTTGCTAACTTGTTTGCGAGCTTCTTCCAATCAGTATACGACACAAATTTACCACCTCTAAATCCTTCAAGTTTCGATCGCATCCACGAGTACAACCTGAATATCCCAACGTTGCCGGACGACGTTATGAAAGCCTTGAATGACCTCGATGTTTCTAAAGGCCCTAGGGTAGATGGTATTCCCCCATCTCTGCTCAAATATTGCGCACGCTCACTCGCTTCTCCGATCTCCTGCATATTCAACCATTCGCTGAGCGAAAGATCATTTCCCAATGTTTGGAAGAAAAACTTCAATTGTGCCTATCCATAAAGCGGATAATGGAAACCGAGCTGAAAACTACCGTGGAATATCAATTCTCTGTTGCATTAGCAAGGTCTTTGAAACCTTAGTGCACAGCACCGCTCTACTACTACAAATTTGCTGTGCTACACTAATACTCTGTTTCGAGAGGTTGAAGCCCGGCGACAGGTGGACTCCATTTACATCGACTTTTCAAAAGCATTTGGCACAGTGCCACACGTGTACGCTACCGAAAAATTAAGAGCTATTGGATTCCCTACTTGGTTAGTTGAGTGGATTCTCTCTTACTTGACCGACCGCCATTCCTTCGTTTCGATCAATTCTGCACGCTCGAAGGCCTTTGCAATTACTTCGGGAGTACCGCAAGGAAGTGTGCTCGGCCCAATGCTGTTTGTCCTTTTCGTCAACGATCTGTGCCTTCAGATTTCTTCATTTAAGCAAATGTTCGCCGACGACCTGAAGATGTTCAGAGTCATCGCGACCGTACTCGACTGCCTCGCCCTGCAAAATGACATAAATGGGCTACTCCTATGGTGCCAAGAAAATGGTATGAGTGTCAACATAGGAAAATGCAAGGTGATATCGTTTTCCCGTCGGAGCACCACCGTCAACCACCAATACACAATTGGATCCGTGTCATTAGAGCGTGTTACCTCAATTTGTGATCTTGGTGTTACTATTGACTCGAAGTTAAGATTCAACGAACATGTTGCACTTGTCACGGCTAAAGCTTCTACGGTTCTTGGATGCATTCGACGCTATACGTGGCAGTTTACAGATATTTTTGCACAAAAAACATTGTTCTGTCCTTTTATACGTAGCATCCTGGAATACGCGGCCTCTGTCTGGACACCTTATCACGCATCGCTGATCATCAGAGTCGAAAGAATTCAGAAGGTTTTCATTCGATTCGCGCTGCGCAACCTTCCATGGAACGACCCGCTAAATCTGCCTGACTACACTGCACGCTGTATGCTGATTGATTTGGAAACCTTACGTGCTAGGCGCACAAACATTCAGCAACTAGATATTTTCGACTTACTGCATGGCAAAATTGATTGTCCTCAACTACTACAGGATGTCCCACCCCGACAGTTGAGGAGCTTACAACTTGTCGCTCACCTGTCGCTTGTCGCCGGAGAGCATGGACCGGAATACTGGACAAGCTGTTCATAGATAGTGACAGTAATGAGTCCGTGGATGTTGCAAATTCTTGCAGCTCGTTTGGAGCTGGAGAGCATGGATCCACTGACAAAATAACTAGCATTCCTACCAGAATTTTAAGCTAGTTTGTGAGCCGGAGAGCAAGGAACAAGAACCATATGCTGAAGAGTGCAGCCGGAACCCGAATACTGGACA